AAATTATCATGAAATTGTTTAGTTCCAAATTGGAAGTTTGGGAGCTAAAATAAGTCCTAATATTTTAGGAGCATGTGGTCAAGCATAAGAAAGTTACCTGCTTAAAATAACCTAACGAAATAAAGCTCCATATGTCCCGATCAAAATCAGTCAGGATGTTATTAAACTGAACAACTGCATTGAAAAGCTTTGCGATATAGTCATGCGGCTCAATCTGCATACGGAGCAAGCAACAGGCTCAGAAAGATGCGGCTCAATCTGCATACGGAGCAAGCAACAGGCTCAGAAAGAGAGTATGCATGCAAGTCAAGTGCCACTCCATTCATAGGCCACATTGACATAACCTTTCAGACAACACAAACTCAACAAAATTATTAGCTGGCGCTGCAATTCCATTATTATTTATGCACTAACTGGTTGGTGTAGAATAGGCTAATTGATAAATGTATTGTAATTCCAAGATAGATGGATAACCTGCAAGTGTATCTACTTATTATCAAGCATGCACATGGTAGTATCTACTTACTATATGAATCACCTTTTGTAAACTCTTGAAACGTGAAATGGCAAAAAAAACCTACATTTCAGTCACCTGAGTCGATTGCAAAACTCATATTAAAGAAAATCCCAAGGCTCTATTAGTTATACACGTATACAGTTTGTATAGTTGCCTAAATCTTCACGAGGACTATTTACTAGTAAACTAGATCAAGCAGAGAACAAGGAATACAAGCAACAGTGTCAAAACAGGTTTACTAGTAAACTAGATCAAGCAGAGAACAAGGAATACAAGCAACAGTGTCAAAACAGGTAAATAAAGTACTCATCCCATTAATGAAACCTATCCAAGTCATCCACAAAGAAAAAACTATATCAAACTCGTCTATGCATTACTTAATTACGCAAAAAAAAAATCCATCAAGCTGAAATGAATCAGATAGGTAAAACCTTGCAAAGAGAAAAGTAGTAGAAGTAAATGAACATGCCTGTGTCACGTAAGGGTTGAAACCTAACCCCAAAGAGGTCACGAACTCAGCTGCAACAGTTGGCCAATCAATATCAGGATATGCAACTTTATGTGCATTGTAGTTTCCAACAGCTCCAGCACACTTGCCCAATATTTGCACTTCTGTAAAGGTCTTCCCTACTTCACTTAGTCAGAAAGAAAAATTTGCCATCTCCTTTCCCAAAGTAGTGGGTGAAGCAGGCTACAAAGGGAGTTAGAAGATATCAGAACTAAACCACATAAACCTATTACAAAAGCAAATCATTTATTCCTGTAGCATAACGATGAAAATTATCAATATGATATTTCAGCTGCTTTGAGCAGTCAACTTAGTATATGTCCGCTTCTAATATTGGCCATATCACGCCCCGGGCTGAAGGGCCCATTGGTGCGGTACAAGCCGTGGGACCCAACAAGTGTAACGTGTTGTTTGCTCAATCCACTGCCAAAATTGACTAACCGATGTTACACTTAAATAATTTAAACCACATAAATTCTCACTCATTTCCCGATGTGGGGCTAAATAGGAGTGTCACGAACACCCCACCTTACATAAGCGACGTCCTCATCGTGACATAACAATTGGCACATCACGGTATCACTAGGCTATTTGGACTCTAGAGGTGGCTCCCGCCGCACTCACGCAATATAGCACTTAGCCCCGCATAACACTTAGACCTCGTTTGGTACGCGGGAATGTGGTGGAATGGAATGGTCATTCTCACTTCTCATTCCTTCCTACCAAACACACCCTCTTTTTTGAAGTTAGAATGCACATTCTCACTTCTCATCAATTCTCACTTTATGTGAGACTGAGCATTCCCAATGAAATGATAGGGAATGAGCATTTCCACTTAAATGAGAATCAATAAAATATACAATTTTAAAATACGTCCATTCCCACTTTATTTTATAAATTACACCCAAACGTGAGAATGAGAATGACTATTCCATTCTCACATTAATTCCATCTCATCCCTTCTTCCATTCCATTCTCATTTGAGTCCATTCCCGCGTACCAAACGAGGCGTTAGTTCCTCCCTTCCGACTCGCAACTGCTCTGATACAATTTGTCACGCCCCGGGCAGTCGGGCCCATTGGTGCAATACAAGTCGTGGGACCCACTAAGTGTAACACGTTTGGCTCAACCCACTGCCAAAATCGACTAGTTGATGTTACACTTGAGTCTTGGGCTTACCTATTTAAGCAACTTAACTTCTCACTCATTTTTCGATATAGGACTAAATAAGAGTGTGACAGGCCAAAAAAAAGACATGATTATATTATTTTTAACCTTCAAATTGAAAAGATTCCATTTAATTTATTTCATAGCATCAAGCTGAAAACTCATGAAGAAAGGAATGTAGAACATGTCCTGCAAACATATATGAACAAAGATAGACAGTATAATCTTTATCAAACCAGTAATTATACATGATGTATTAGGCCCATGTAGAAAATTCCAGAGTTTCAGCATGTAATCATTATTTAATTATTTCTATATAAGCCCCCCCAAAAAAAAACTTAACCTTTATATAAAAAATTTTCACCGAAATGACCAGCCAGAAATCTTTTGAGTTATTTCAACCAAAAAAGATCCACCTCCAGGACATTAGGGAAAAATTCTTAGTGGAATATTACCCTGTGCACCTTAGATTAAGTTTAACTTTTTAAACTCAAGAGTACTTTGTTTTTCTTTGAGTACTCCCACTTCTCTAATCCTTCTCTAAACGTGCTCTTGTCAGTTGCATCCCTTCTCCATTTGGGATAAATTTCATTAAGAATTTAGGATTGCTAAATAAATTAGTTCATGGAAATAAAAAAGAATTTTTCTTTTTCCTTGAAGCATTCTCTGCATTTTCTTAGTCTAATAGCTTCTGATTCTTTTTTTTAATCAATATATGCAATAAACTATGTCCTATGTGTAAACACAAATAAAAGGGAAATATAAGATTTTCAATTATGCTTTTATAGCATTAAAGTTTTTGTAGATAACATATAATCAACAAAAAGTTGGTATTCTGTTATAACAAGAGTTGCCTCTCATCTAAAACTGAAAATACCTGTCCATGAGTGCGAGACAACATGGAGATATGAGCATTTTCCTTCGCTAATTTGCATATTGCATTCAACAACTCAATCATCACAGGAAATATGACAGTGTTGAACGCCTCCTTCAGTGCCAATGCATGGGCTAAATTATTTATATCCTCTGATGTACAAGCAAAATGAAAAAACTCCAGTACCTAAAAAAGAATTTTGTAGAATCTGATGACAAATATTAAGCATCAAATGAAATCTTTGAAATCATAGTTAGTATAGTTATAAAAAGAGGAAGCATAGAGTACCCACAACAAGGAACATCAAAAACTCACCTCAGCAATCTCAGCATTGGATTGACATTTCTGTTTCAAGAAGTATTCCACTGCTTTAACATCGTGGTTAGTTACTTTTTCAATCTTTTTCACTTCCAGAGCATCAGCTTTGCTGAAGCCACTAACTATACTTTCTAAATAAGACCTGGCATTCTCGCTAAAGCTTTGAACCTCCTTGATTTCAGGTATTTTTGATAAGTTTAGCAACCATTTTACCTGCAAAAGAATCGCTTCATATTAACATTTTGCACTAAGTAGCTAACATGAAAATAACTACAGTGGCCAGCTTTGTCAGATCATGATGGGTAATGGAGAAAGAGGTAAACCTTTTTTACTTGTAAGTTACCTCTTTCTCCATTACCCAAGACATGACTACATTATGACAAGTTTTAATGAAGATTGCTACCGATATCAAAGCAGAGGCTGGACGTTTTGTTAGATTGTAAAAGAAAGCACACTAATAAGCATGACCTAAATAAACAATGTTAGATGGACTCATACAGAAACTGCTAATACTACATATGCAAACTTATTAGAAAAGGGGTATTAATGTCAGATATGCATATCAAATATAAATATCCTAACGGCATATGCAAACTTATTAGAAAAGGGGTATTAATGTCAGATATGCATATCAAATATAAATATCCTAACGGTTCACGGAACATTTTAGGCACAACTTTAAACCTTTAACTAAGGCTTTAAACCTTTTATCTAAATACCTGAGACATTATGATTTGTAAGCCAGACGGAACAAGGATATCCAATCAACAACAGTTTCTTCATGCTTTACCAAAAACATTTCTTTATCATTCGCTACAAAAATAATTGTATAATCTACATTTAAATATGAAACCACTATTCTTAAAAAAACATAATGTAAGACTAACACTGTGCACTGGTGTTGAATAAAAAATACTTATTAAATATGTATTCTTACAGGAGAATTTAATGAAAATTACCTCAACCATTACACGGTAACGGATTAACCCATATTCACTAAAGAATGGGTGCAAATCCTTGACTTTCTGCAAATATCGGCCATCTAAAGGTGATAAAGCCATAATGCTAAAGGACTCAAGATCAACAACCTCCTCTTCACGATGATGCTCCATCTAAAACATAAAGTTCACACAGCCAAAACATTAAACTTCACACAGCCAAAACATACTCAACCAGTTGTCCAAATATGAGGAAAATTGAAGAAAACTGATCACCAAAAAATTAGATCATTCCGGATCAAACTTAATCATCATTGAAGATTCACAAGCCCAATTATTGGATGGAATACAGCTACCTATAAATTGGGGACTGCCAAAGGATCATCTCTATTTTTTTAAAAAAAATTAAGAACCTGAAATTCAAAGTACAACAGTGGAGCCCTACATTACAAATTCAGAAGAAGAAAAAAAAGTGACTTATACCATGTGATATTTATTTTTTACTAAAAGTTTTACCAAAATATTCCCTCCTGTAAACTTATAAAAAATCATATCTTTATTCAAAAATCCAAAAGATACCACTTTTGAGAAACATTTCAAGATTATAGTATATGATATACTCAATCAAAAATGCTCACTGACTTTGTTTTTCTTTTTTTACAGATTATACTTAGTTAAGTAGCAAGCTGCAAGGATGAAGGATCAATCAAATTTCCCAACACAACTACCAAATTAAATATCGATAATTCATTCATTAAATATGTATATTCATATTGTATTCCTATTTTCAAAATTGTGAAGTGTGAAGTGTGGAGTGTGAACAGAAGAAAAAATTAAAGAAAAAAAGAAGTGTGAACAGCAAAAAGGGATTAACCAGAAGCAGGTACCTAGTTTTTAACTCAATATCTGCACTGAGCAAAAAGGGAACCTTTTCTAACATTTAAAAGAGGTAAAACTATCTTTCCCCATATATTCAAAGATACACGAATCATGATATTGGACTCAAAAGGGAACAAGCTGCTGATAAACCCAAAAAACTTGACTAATGAATTCAGTGAGCATCCCAAAAAAACAGAAGCAGCAAACTAACATGACTAATGAATTCGGTGAGCTAATTTGATATGTTAGAGCTAGTATTTAGCTTTTCTTAACAGACTCATTTACATTATGCCTTTCCATCAAACACATCATAAGTTTCAAGTTATTAATCTTTCTTGATTTGCCCATTTACACCATTGTTTAATGTCTGTTCTGTTCATCTTAATTACACGGATGATCTGAAAACACCAAAACCATATTAATGTTAAGTTGTTAACCTTTAAACCAAAAAACTTGAAATCAAAGGTCATCACTGAAGTCTGAAATAGTAAAATGATAAATAAAATAAGAAAATAACATTAAATCCTTTACCTTGTTACAGGAATGAAGCAGACTCCCAAAGGCTTCGAGAATCGAGAGGCTTCGACGAGTTCGAGCTTCGACGAGGAACAGATCGGAGGTTGAAGAGGAGCTCAGAGGTTGAAGACAAAGCTCGGAGGTTGAAGACGAAGCTCCGACGAGTTCGAAGACGAGGTTGAAGCTCGGAGGTTGAAGACGAAGCTTCGACGAGTTCGAAACGAGGTTGAAGCTCGGATGTTGAAGATCGAAGACGAGGTTGAAGACGAGGTCGAGCTTCGACGAAGATGAAGACAGTTCGACGAGGTTGAAGATGAGCTCGGTCGATGGAAATTTCTTGCGGCGTCGGGTGAGTGAGAAAATGAGAATTAGGGTTACGTCGGTTTTGGGTTTGGGTTTGGGTTTTTGGTTTTTGGGTTTGGGTTATGGGTTTTGGGTTTGGGGTCTGGGGCTTTAAGCGTTTTTTTTTTCTTTTTTAAGTGGAGCGGGCCGCTTAGCTTTGGGCGGCCGCATAGCTGCTCCCAGCGCCTAATGGTGGCCGCTCAAGGCACATTTAAACGTCCTGGGCATCGCCTCCGCCTAGGCGGGCGCCTAGGCGGCCGCCCAGGACGTTTTTTATAACACTGCAACTCATAATAGATTTTATCTCATTCTTCTTACCTTTTGAGCTGCAAAATTACTAATTAAAGTTTTATATTTAATATTTTTTAACATATTATTTTCGATAGATAATATTGCTAAATCATTCAATCTATCTTGTAACATGGTCGGTCTTAAATAAGATTTTAGTAATTTTAATTTTGAAAAACTTCTTTCAGCAGAAGCAACTGTTACGGGTATAATCAATAGTACACGATAAGCAATACAAGTATTTGGAAAAGAATCTAACCACTTTATATAGTTCAGCACATCAATTGGACTATTAATCTCTACTTTTAAAAAGAAATTTAGGTTGTACGTTCATTTCAATAGCAAGTTCTTTAGTTGAATTCAAAGTAGACATAAAACCATTTTGTCTATAATTTTCTAAATATACAATAAGACCCTTTAATTGATCTATGACAATATCAATATGCATATCTTTAGATTGTAAGATTTTACTAACTGAATTAACAATAAACAGTATGTCATACCAAATATTCATAGCTAATAAGAATTCAAAATTTTTAATCTTATAAATTGCTAAGCTATTAGCTTCACTTTTTATCTTTGGATCTTCACTAATTTCTGCTAATTTAATCAAAGCATCTCTTATATTTGGAGCTTAAAATTTTATTGCTTTTAACACTTTCCATTCGACTTTCCCATCTAGTTTGAGATAAAGATTTAACGGATAACTTGCTAATAACAATTAATTTCAAAGAAGAAGTACACGATTTGTGAAGGCACGTTAACCAAAAACACACAAAATTATAAAACAAACAAAAATAAGAAACAAAAGGAGTAAGTTCCAAGTTTAACGTGACTGGTTAACATGGCATTAAAATGAAAGCCACACAGATGTCTTCTTATAACTCTTCTTTCATTAAACCCCTCTGAAGTAACTAGCAAAGCTCTCAACTTTGATATCCATTTGAGATTTCAAAGCCTTTGATGTCAAATTTTTAATCTTTTATTATCTGGGTTTGATCCGTTTTCTCAAATTCTGCCATGAATTTTCAAAGCTTGACTATCAAGAACAGTTCTTGGTTTAAAGACAGGGGCGTTGGGAGCTGGAACAATGGGATCTTTCGTCAAGGATTGAAGTGCAATTCTAGGAAATATGCGGGTTTGAGAACAAGTAGGTTTGAGGAGTTGCATTCTCTGTTCTTACCTCAGATGTTACCCAGGATACTGTAGTAAGTGACTTCCTTTAGAAAAGATTTGATCTTTTTCCCTTTCTTTTGGAATCTACAGGAAACAAAGTTGGCTTCTATAAAACTGAACCCTAAACCCCATGTCTACGCCCAAATCATCTGTTTCAGTTCGTTGCAGTCCAGATTTCAACCCTAATTTCAACAATAATTAGGAAAAATCACTCAAATTACGACTTTCCTAAAGCCAGACCAAGATCAAAAATTCAAAATCGAGACGTCAAACCCATTTTCTATCTAAACATTTAAAACCCATATCAGAAATCAAAATCTCAGACAGTTGCATGCAAAAATAAATCATGGGTTTTGGAAAAAATCGAAGGAGTTACCAGAAAAATCTCTGTTTTTTTTATCCAGAGAGGCTGGCCATTGGCGGCGGTGCCGCGGGAGCGGAGCTGTGGCTAGCGGTGGGAATAGGAAGAGGCGAAGAGCGGGGGGAGACCGGAGCGGAGAGTCGGGAGAGTTTATCGTTCGTACTGGACACAACAAGTGAGACATTTGGTTACTTTGGTGTCGGCTCAGTTTTGAGAAAACTTCACCGAGGTGGAGAATTGTGAATTCGGGTGGGGTCTACCACGTGAATGAGACGCGTGAGGATTGTGCAAAGATGGAAGTGAGGCCCACCCGAATTAGTTTGTGCACCTATATAATGTGTCTCTAGGGTTTTGGGAAACGTGTGCCAAGGAGGTTGATCGCTGGTGTTTTTTGCTGCTGGGACAAAGAAGCGGCTGAAAAAAAAAAAAAAAACCGCAGAAGCATGAGGTGTTTTCAGCAGCCGTCAAGAGAGTTCTGAGCATCTTTTGTAGAGAGAGTTTGTGTGAGAGGTCTGAGAGTTTTGTGTGAGGGTTTTATTTGTTGGATTCTTGTGTAAACCCTATTTGTATTCTCTCCCTCTATTAGTAGATCTCCCCCCTCCTTGCCCCGTGGACGTAGGCAATTTGCCGAACCACGTTAAAATTGGTTGTACTGCTTTTGTGTGATTTGTAATAGCTTTTAGGGTCCCTCGACGCGCAGTCCTAGAGCTGACGAGAGGAAGAGCTAATATCCTACTTTGATAGGATATAGGCTTCAGATTCTTGTTCCCTTTGAGAAACAAGAATTCTTATTGCGACCTGACTCTCTTGTTGTGCTGCCGAAGTGCTGCCGAAATTTCCGCTGCGCGCAACAAGTGGTATCAGAGCCCAGATTTCAGATCTAGGGTTTTTTGGTGGAGGAAGATTCTTGTGTGAAGCTTAGTTCTTGGAGTTCTCGGCTTCGGTGGAGATAGCATTAGGAGTTGCCGTTGGAGATTTCGCTTTCCTCGTGTGGATAGGAGATCTATTTGGAATCCGATCTAGGGTTCAGTTGGGTGGTTCCTAATTCTATCAAATTTGTTCTTTCTCTACAATTTGGAGTTAGTTCGCAATGGGAGAAGAAGGTGAAAGCAGCAAATCGATGGCGGGTACAATACAAGTTGGTTTTCAAAACACCAAAATTAGTGTGGTGAAATATGACGGAAAAATCAACTTTGGTTTGTGGATGAGCGACGTACAGGATGCGTTAAATGCTCAGAATTTGGAAGAGACCATCATGGTCCATGAGAGGCCACCTAAATATGATGAGGCGGTATGGGAGAAAATGAATAGGAACGCTTGTGGGGTGATCAGGTCCTGTTTGGAACAGGAGCTGAAGTATGATGTGATTGGGGTGACGTCTGCGATGAAGATGTGGGAAATTCTCAACAATAAGTACCTTACGAAGAGTGTTGAGAACCGATTGCACTTGCTGCGTAGGTTATTCAGATTCCAGATGTCCAGAGGCACCTCGCTTGCGGCTCATGTGAACAACTATACGAAGTTGTTGTCGGACTTGGCGAATGTTGATGAGAAGATATCGGATGAGTACAAGGCGATTATTTTGTTGGGCTCCTTACCGGATGAGGAGTATGATACCTTCGTGCTCACTTTGTTGAACGGGAGATCTTCTATCAGCTATAGTGAAGTGACTAACGCTTTGACGAACTACGATTTGAGGAGGAAGGATAAGGAGACTTCCCGCGCTAGTACTTCAGGAGAGGCCTTGTCGACGAGAGGTAGAAGCCCATATCCGAAAGGTGGTAATAGAGGAAGGTCAAAGTCTAGAGGCCGCCACCAATTAACAAAGAACCAATGTGCATTCTGCAAGGAGCAGGGACATTGGAAGAGAGACTGCCCGAAGCTCAAGGAGAAGGAGAATGGCAAGAAAAAGGGCCCGAAGGCCAATGAGGTGAACATTGCGAAAGGCGATGATTCCGATGATTCGTGCTTTTCTCTACTGATTACTCCGGAGGTGAACCATGTGGATGCATCAGATTGGATGCTTGATTCCGGCGCTACCTTTCATGTGACCCCTAGGCGAGACTGGTTTGCATCTTTTGAGAAAGTCGACGGGGGCGTTGTTGTCATGGGAAATGATCAATCCTGTGGCGTTTGTGGGATAGGTACCGTGCGGATTAGGATGCACGATGGAGTAGTCCGTGAGTTGAAGGAGGTGAGATTTGTTCCTCAACTGAAGAAAAATCTTATCTCAGTTGGAGCTTTGGAGGCGAAGGGATTCAAGGTGACTTTCGAAAACGCTGTAGCGAAGGTTACTAAGGGATCATTGGTGGTGATGAGGGGAGTCCGCAATCGGAATTTGTATTATCTGAAGGGAAGCACCGAGATTGGCCAGGTTGCTTCGGCTATTTCAGAAGCGGACATGAGCAGACTTTGGCACTATAGATTGGGGCACACAGGTGAAAAGTCACTGCAGGCATTGTGCAAGCAGGGGCTATTGAAGGAAGCCAAGAGTGAGAAGATTGTGTTTTTTGAGCACTGTGTTCTTGGCAAGAAGACGAAGGTGAAGTTCGGGACTGCCATTCATCAGACGAGGGGCATCCTGGACTACGTGCACACAGACGTTTGGGGTCCCACCAAGACTGCATCACTTGGTGGTAGACATTGGTTCGTCACTTTTGTAGATGACTATTCTAGGCGTTGTTGGGTGTACACCATGACGAAGAAGAGTGAAGTCCTAGATTTGTTTGTGGAGTGGAAGAAGAGATTGGAACTGCAGACTGGGAGAAAGATCAAGACGTTGCGATCCGACAACGGTGGTGAGTATACTTCTGACCCCTTTCAGCAGCTATGTCGAGACGAGGGCATAGAGAGACACTTCACAGTTAGTCATACACCGCAGTAAAATGGGGTGGCAGAGAGGTTGAATCGGTCTTTACTGGAGAAGATCCGATGCTTATTATCGCAGAGTGGTTTGGAGAAGATCTTTTAGGCTGAGGCACTTACGTATGCGAGCCACCTCATTAATAGGCTGCCTTCATCTGCGATTGAGGGGAAAACCCCTATGGAGATGTGGTCGGGAAAGCCAGCACATGACTATGACCAGCTCAAGGTATTCGGGTGCCCTGCATATTATCATGTTAGAACTGATAAATTGGAACCTCGAGCTAGGAAGGCCATATTTGTAGGATTCAAGCGTGGTGTCAAGGGATACAAGCTTTGGGATCCAGTGGATAAGAAGATTGTGCTGAGTAGGGATGTCACATTTGATGAGGCTTCTATCTTGAAGCTT